AAATCAAAAAAAAAAAAAAAAAAAAAAAAAAACTCTAAAATTTGAATCCCACCCTTTTACTGGAATGGCTTGATTTTCACTGAGATACGGGGTCAAACCAGGACACTGGTATGGCTTTTCCACTGCACAAAGACTGCACTGTCCCATGCCAGGCCACAGTGCAGCACAACTTTAGTACACTGTAGTTTTCCAGGCTGCTTTCAGACCTAATGGACCCCTGTCAGAATGCACACATGTAACCACAGCAACAGCAGCCATGGAAACCAGTTGCAAAAGTTCCATTCTCTCCACACACCAAAATTCTAGATTTCTCACAATGAACAAGTTCGCTCATGTCATAAAACTTTAATCTCAAACAATCCCAAGCAGAGTTGATATGATTAATCGATTAAACGATTAATCGACAAAAAAATACAACTATTTTGATAAATGATTCATTTAAATTTAAATTCTTATCTCAAATATTTCCCTTTTTTGTGGAAAACAAACATTTACTTTTACCTTGCTGGGCCTCAAAAATTTATTCAAATGAGATAATGTGAAGTGAAGATTAGATCCATCTATGTTTATTCAATTGAATTTGTTCTTGTGTTCCTGTATAATTGGGGAAATTATACATAATATATTTCATTTAGCTAACAAGCTCATTCATGAAACTTAAACTATGTCCCAATTTCATACTACATGCTACTGCTATACAGTATATACTACATACTAATCTTTATAGTACACTGTCTTTGCAGTTAGTATATGGTAAATCAACATACTTAACTGTTTTATAATTACTGCACCTCCAATTAAACTTCACAGAGAAACAGCAGAACATATAACAGTTTTTTCTGTTTGTTTTTTTCCAGCTATGCGCAGCTCCTCCATTTCCTTTGTGCATTGCATTGTAAGCAAGTAGTGTTCATCAACAGCACACTGAGAAATCAAGGGGTCTTTTTTTTTAAGTCAGCATACTGACTGTTTTGAGTATAGTTAAGTTTATTTTGGCACTTTTCAGTAGGAACATACAACATAAACATGGCCTGCTTATAATTAGTATGTAGTATGGAGTTGAGACACAGCATTGATGTCATCCATAGCATACCATAGCCCCCCCTGTCCCTTCTCTTCCTCTAAGGAGTTCCTCATTTCCTCTGTAAAAGCAACTCTCAGGAGCTTTGTGAACTGCTCTTAAGAGGAAACTCTCAATAGGAGCTTTTAGTGACTTTAGGGGGGACTCCCAGTGGTAAGATAAGATCCTTTGTGAATGTGAGCCTTGGTGTGTAAAAAGTCTTGAACCTGTGCAACAATAATCCCACATTCCAGATATGCATAATAACCAGCGTTTGCAGCAACAAATAGAGAACACACTATGGCCTTATGCAGATTTGAACTGAGGCTCGAAGGTAAGATAAATATGGCTTCAGTACAGAAACACTGGGATGAGTGGAAATGCATTTTATGACCCTTTTGAAAAAACACAAACACTAGCAGGTCTGATGACCATCATACGTAGACCAGTAGAAGATGCTGGCTGGTTTGGATGTCATTGGCGTTAGGTCTTAAAGTCTTTAGAGACTGGGATTTAGCGGTTGCTCCTCATGGCCTCCTTGGCTGCCAGGATGAGCGGGGTGAGGCTGGACAGAGGTTTGGCCAGCTTCAGGAATGGATGCTACAGACAGACAGCCAGACAAAGGAGTGCACACATGAAATACCATAAGTTGAGGAATGAGGTGAACATTTTTGGAATCAATCAAACATCAGTTACCTACAAAGAGTAAAAGACAAATAAACATGTCACATTTTACACTCTCTGGTTAGTTGTGAAGATAAAATTTTATATCTTTTGGTTTTGGACTGTTGGATGGACACAAGGAACTAGCCTGCCCTGGTCCAAAAGTGCCAAAATCCACCCACTAGAAAGCTGACTATTATAACACATTATAGTCATGAACATATACCTATTTGTTTAGTCTGTACAAAAACCAAAGTGCGAGAGTGACAGTTTGTCATTTTACAGGGCTTCATGCGCTGGACTATCTCTACCCAGGCAACCATCGGAAAAGTTACTCGATGTGTGCTAAGCTAAGCTAACCAGCTGCTGGCTCCAGCTACATACTTACCCTACAGACATGACAGAGGCATCAATCTTCTCCTAAAATCCTCACCAAGAAAGTGAATGTGTATTTCTCAAGATGCCAAATTATTCTTTTAAGCATTTAGGCTCCATTTATACTTAAACAATACAATTTCATTAGCCAAATATATGCCTCTCCCAAGGTTCTAATTTAAGATCTCTCTATAATGCTTTTGTTTTAATATCATACAGATACACTTGCAACTTACTCTGCAACTATTTTAATAATGAATTCATGTTCGAATCACTCTGCAAACAAACATGTCAAGAATCTTCTGGTTTCACCCTTTTAGATGCGAGGATTTACTGATCGTATGCAGGAAATATATTGATATGTAGTATGAGCGTGTAGGCCGCGTTCTACCTGCAGCAGTTCTCTGCCTGATCCTCGTTTCTCCACGTCCATCTCCAGACAGCGGGACAGAAAGGATCTGAAGACAGGGGACAGCTTCTCTGGACTCTGCAGCTCAGGAGTCCCATTGGTGGCAATTAAATACAATGCCTAAGACCAGCACAATAGCATGGTAAGAAAAGCAGTATAATATCATCTTGAAGCATTCCAATAATAATTTAGTTTCTTCAGTGTTCATCCTTGTAAACATTAACTGTTTAGTATCTCCAACATTAATAATTTTATATATATCTCTATAATGCTCTAATACTAATGATCAAATGTGACACTTGACGATCACAGCTGTGAAGCTGCGATACAGACACAGAGGTAGAAACCAGACACAAGGCTAAGAGCTGATGGGAATATCTTTAGTTATGCAGGTTTTTTTTTTTGTCATAAACTGAAGAATTGAAATTTTGACCTCATGGTGGTGCTAGAGGAGAAGCCAGGGGATCACAAAGTCACTGTGATTCATTTTGTATGAGATGTAAGAGATTTTACTGAAATATGAGGTCAATAAATTGATTAGTCTATAGTGACAAATCAATTTCTCACCAACAACTCTGATGATTGATTGTTGAAGTCATTTATCAAGCCAAAATGGCAAACAGTGTCTGGTTCCAGCTACTCAGACGTGAGGAGTTTCTGGTGTTTTTCAGTTTCATATTGTTAAATATCTTTGGGGTTTAGATTGTTGATCAGACACAAAAAGCAATTTTAAGATGTTGCCTTAGGCTCCTGGAAATAGTGATGGACATGTTTCACAATTTTAATGAAATTTCATAAACTAAAAGATTAACTGAACTCACAAACACCAAAACAGCCGTGTGCCCATTCTTCCTCGCAGCACACACTCACCCTGAGAGGGTTCTCGTTGAGATATGGAGGCTCTCCCTCCACCATCTCTATGGCCATGATCCCCAAAGACCAAATGTCCACTTTGGGTCCGTAGGCTTTCCTGGTCACCACCTCTGGAGCCATCCAGTATGGAGTCCCCACCATGGTGCTGCGTTTGCTCTGCTCCGGAGTGATCTGGGCACAGAAGCCGAAGTCAGCTGCAAAGAGAGAGAAAAAAAAAATATGGGTTGAGATCATTTTATTCACGTTCCTCATCAGAGTTAAGATATGTGTCCGTGGATCTGTGCATATTTTTGCGTGTGCTCTCTCTCTCACTGAGCTTGACCGATCCGTCCATTCCCAGCAGTACGTTGTCACTCTTGATGTCTCTGTGGATGACCTGGTTGGCGTGTAGAAACTCCAGAGCCTGAAGGACCTGAATGCGGAGCGGGAGAAAGGTTAGCATCCCCAAAAGTTGATGTACTGTTTACATAAGTGCCACAGACAAACATATTTTAAAAAATGTAGGCAGGTTTGAATATTTTCTGTAAGTTCTGGTAGAGACAAAAAGATGAGAGCCCCCGTGTGCTGAGAGGTAATTTCATAGAATTTGTTCATAATAACAAAGAAGTAAAATAACGCTAGTACTACTTAAAAGCCTGCAAATTATTATTAAATCCCAAATCGGGTTCTCTTTTTAAAGAGAGTACGAAAACAGACGTATACAGTCTATACATAGACAGACACACATTAATTCATGGGGAAATACTGCAGATTTCCACTATGGAATACGATTTGCAAATTGTGTGGTCATTTTTGGCCCATGTTCATCATCACTCTTAAAGACTAACACTGAAAGTTGACCATGGAAATGCTAAAAAATACCTAATTTCCTACTCTCAGACGCTTGATAAACACAGACCCTTGCCTATAAATGAGTCACAGGAAGACATGAGACGATTAAGCCCCAAGTGGTAATATTGTAGTGAAAGTGTCTGTCTCATCAGTGGATTTCCTGAATTGTGTGACACTAGTGCTTTGCCAGGTCTTCACTGATATCTTCTGTAAGCTCAGCTGTCTGAGAAGAGTCCCACCTCTCTGCACACAGCGGCGATCTGAGCCTCGTCCATGCACGTCTCCGTCACGACATCAGTTAGGGAGCCACCAGCCAGGTACTCCATCACCACAAAAAGCTCATCTCCTACGAGGAAACTAAAAACGCACACATGGATGATCAGATTCACAAGGCAGTGGACTCACACATTATTACAGATGTGTACTGTATGTTTGTCTGCATAGGATGTGTTAGGTTGGTGTTACCTATCTACGAAATTGACAATGTTGGGGTTCTTCAGCTCCTTCATAACCAGGATCTCGTTGATAATCAGCTCTTTCTTTGGCTGCTTCTGCAAGTTGATTTGTTTGATGGCCACCTGTGAAACACAGCATCCTTTAAATGTGGTACCAAAGACACACACAGAATATCTGGGTAACTGCAAGATACAACTAATTCATTTGCCATTTGTTAGCATTAATTGAACACTCTGATATTTGGACTGTCAAATTCAGAAGATGTAAAGTTGCCAAGACAAAGCATGGATAAATAGGTTCCCTAGACATGTGTCTTGCATAGAGCTGTATTCCTCTGATAAGGGCTGAATGCCGGGAATTGAGGTCTTGGTATTTCCCAGTAATTCTCGCCAAAATCATCTCCGCTTTCCCAAGAATAAATTCCTGCTGAGTCCTAAGATTTATAGCATGTGTGTGTTTATGTCTGAAAACTGCAAGTGGTTCAGGAAGTGGTTTAATTTTCAAGGGGAAGAGACACAAGATGAAGTCACCTTACCTCTTGTCCTGTGGCAACGTCTATGGCTGTGTAAACAGTGCCAGACGCCCTGAAATTGGGAAAACAGTGACAGTTGAAATTAAAGGCCTTTCCTTATTTTTTCCCATTACTGCTATTTACTTCCAGTCCAACACAATTCAGTGTTGCTTAACCTCCCACACTCACCCCTGGCCGATCTTCTCATAGCGAGTGTATTTCTTCTTAGGATCTCCAATGCTGACAATAGTTCCTAGGAGACACCAAAAAAAAAAAAAAAACTGTTAAGTCAGCTCTACTGAAGCCAAAAATAGAAGTGGCTCTGCCCGCACTGTGTCATTTTCAGTGTGTAACTGAGTGTGGTTTGCATACTTAGTTTCTCCATGATCTCCTCATCAGTCATTTTGCCTCCCTTCTTTTTCTGTTTGTCAGCTGCCTTCGAGGCGGCATCTCCCTCTGGAGCTGGGAGTGGATCTATCACCGACCTCGTGTACACCTGACACAACATGGGAGAGAAAAATTTCAAGAATACTGACCTTAGATGATCTTTCATTTTTAGCTGTTTGTATTTTTTGGTGATTGGATATTCAGAATAATTCACTGTACTAAAGATGAAAATTTACTCCGGGTAACAATTTCAGCTAAATGCATAAAATAAAATGTTAAAGTAGGTGGTTTTATATTTTCTATTTTTGTAAATATTGTACAAAATAACAATGTGTCCTCTAACATCACAATCTTTCCCATCATGACTCACTGATTTTGTGTGTTCTGGCCGTGGGGCCACAACTGGAGGTGGCGTATCGTCATCATCATCATCGTCACCATCCTTGCCACCTGACGGGGAGGTCACTGTACCCTGCTTACACTGCTGCAACAGCAAACATACGCAGATAGAACAGAATGAAATTCACTGAATGCGCTCAATCTGATGTAATGAATCAGAGTGGAAGTAACGAAAGGAACTACTCACCGACTGTGAGTCTTTATCTGAAAGAGATAAAACAATACAAGAGGAAGTGTAAGGACAGAGGAGTGAGTCTACAGAGCTACAACACTGGACTTTTATTTGTCTGCTGAGTGAAAGAAAACTGACCCGAGGCGGAAAAACTGAGGTATTTCTGTTTTCCACTGGTGGAGTCATAGAACTTGAGAATGTCGAGGACGGCCTGAGGATTCTGTTTCTGTTCTGATTTACTGATGTTTGAGGTTTGAAGGAGACGGGCCCACTGCTCCGGCATGCCCTGGACAAACACACACATACACACACGCGCACTTTGAAAAAGGTATATAGAGATCTAAAAATAAGAACAAAAATAACACAGGTGATATATCCAGATGACACGGAGGAGCCCCTGTAGCAACGTTTCAACTTTAATCATACAGCTAGTAGCTCTCTCATCTGGGACTCCATCCAATATCCACACCACACAAACTGGGTCTTATGCAGAGATTAGCTGCCTCTAAATATTTACACCCACTAACTGCCAGGATTAGTAACAGTAAGAGTAGTTTAGTAGAAGAGTAAAAGAGGTAATATGTAATTATGTTTAATAAAAATGCTGTTCAATAAAGATTTTAAAAGAAGATCACGTTTCACAAAAATAACACAACATACACATTATGCCAAAAACCTAAGACACCATTACCAAAGTCAGCCAAGCATAAATGGATGTATCCCACTTATACTAAATGAACACTGCTAACACACCTATATTTCTCTACATATGCATACGGTATATTAATACAACAAGTCATAAAATAAAACAACAAAACAAAGTCATACCTCCATTTACAAAGGATTAACAGTTAGGTTTAATACATTGTTTGGCTCCCTATAACTTTTTTTTTCGCAGTGATGATACAGTTCGTGATGCTACAGTGACTTCTGATAGATGAGTAGATTGATATCACTCTCATCTTGTGTGTCTGTATATCAAATATGTCACTGGAAACCAGTGCGCTTTAAAGGTGCTGCACTTTGGACAGGCTAGCAGTTTCCCTCTGTCTCCAGTCTTTAGGCTAAGCTAAGCTAACCGATTCCAGCTACATGTTAACCATATACACATGGGAGTGATATCAATCTTCTTTAAATCTTGGCAAGAAAGGAAGTGTGTTTTCCACAATGTTCTCCTTTAAGTTTTAAATGGCACAACACAATTTAGATTACCACTTGTTTAAAGTGGTATCTACAAACATATGAAAGACTTTACACACAAACACAGGGATGGATTTATGAAAAGCTGGTGCAACCCAATCAAGGTCTGTAAAATGGTTACAAATATAAACAAGCATTTTGCACAGTATCAAGGTGAGGCACTTACAGTGAACTCTCCAGTGACGGCATCAAAACCCACATGGATGGTGTGTTCAAAGTCCGACGGGGAGGATATCTCAGGTCTGTCCTTGTCCCGGTCCTTCTTCCTGCCTCCTGCAGGTAGAGGTCAAGGGTCAATATGTGGGTCATCCAGTGCCATGCACACAGTCTTTTACTGTATGTCTGTGTATATATGTGTATTCTCCCTCACCTTTCTCAGAGGCAAACATGGAAATGATCTTGTTTCTGGATTTCCTCTCCTCCGGTACAGACGGCAGCGGCCGAGAGCTGTGATTGGCTGACTGGGTGTCCTTGGCTCCTCCTCCTTGGCTGCTCATCCTGACAGGGGGGGCGGGGGGCTTGTCCTCACACACTCCGCTGTCACACATCTACACACACGTACACCTGCAGAATAGGGATAAGATGCACAAATTTGAAGGCATTCAAGACATGCAGCAAGTCTGTTGTGCGCTCAATCACTGGTTCACCTCTTCCTGTTTTTTGGGGTTTTTTTTTTTTTTTTACAATTTCACAATGCTAGTCAAAGCATGACATGTTAGCCAAAAATGCTACAGTGGAACAGCTGCAAGAAAAGCTTCGCCTCTATTACACACAGAAAGAAACAACTGAACACCAAATTAAGAAAGACTCACACAGACCTAACTAATCCATCCAGGCCGCAATCTGTGGAGCAGCACTGAGTGCTGTAGCGCAGGGAACACAGAGTGTGAGAGCAGGAAGCGAGGCTGAATGGTCAAAGTGACGTGTTGAGTCTCGTTCACGTTTACAGATGAATGAGGAAGGAAAGGAGGCAGCAAGACAGAGAGAGAGAGAAGAGCGTCTTAGATTGAGTGGGTGACTGAGAATGGTATGAGCGCAGTAAGACGGAGAAAGAGAACTGAGCTGGGTAGTGTGACAGTTTACTAGCTACTTTTCAGATTATGATTTTACATAAAAGAACCTATTCTAAGCCTATAAACTACAGTATTTTGTTATGAACTATTCCAGTGGTTCATAAACCTTTTTGGCTTGTGATCCCTAACAAAAAAACATTGTCCTCGGTCCCCTTGTTTATAGGTTAGCAGCAGTTCCACCAAAGAGACATTTCCCTTTCTACACTTCTCAGATGGTTTAATTCAAATAACTGTTTGAGGCTCAAAAAGGGTTGAATTGCCGAAAAACATGAATAGAAATTATATTGTCACCTTGTTGGGGGGCCTTACCCCCAGGGTGAGAACCACTGGACTTAAACTGTCCAACTGTATTTAAAGATTCATGTATGCACAACCAGTTGCCAGAAAACTAATGCAGTCTAATACACCAGTCCTGTAGTAAATCCTCCTTTATGTAGGTTATAATGATCCGTTTTTACTTGAAACTGTTTCTGAAAGGTGTTGGTTCAACTGTGTGATCATTTTGGAGATTGTAGTTTAGGGTTAGCTGCATTATACTGAGACGTGTTTCTACGATTTGACCTACATTCACCAATATAAATGAGATGGACAAAATAATAGAAACACTATTTTTTCTGCAGAGTGAGTACTTGAATGGATGACTTTCATCTGTAATTGTACTTTAACACTGCTGAACTGTTATTTTTACCCATGCACAGGATTTGAGTTTCATCCATTACCCTAATATGGTGAAAACTGAGACAGTAGACACTCATGCACACATACAGACACACAGACACACAGACACGCGCACACATGAAACTGTCAACCACAAAAGCACTTCTAACAGTCTTGCAGAGCAAACAGTTTGATTAATTCTGAGCTGCAGCCTGCATTCTTGGTGACATCACAGCACAGGAAACAGGAAGCAAACAAAGGTTCCCTCACTTCCTGTGTCTGACCACCGATGACACAGCGCGTATTAAACTTGGATAAAGAAACGCGGCTCAGGTACGTATGCCTATGACCTCTTCTTCACATATTAACCCTCCTCCTGTCATGTCACGTTCCAACTGCGAAGATTGATACAGACTCTACACACAACATTAGGCCTTTGACGTCACTTCACTTCTGCTTTGCCCTGTATAATAACTGAGCCCCCAGACCACAAACTGAAGACACATCAGCACTAACTTGACTCAATGTTACATTATTCCCCTTCCTGCATTATTTCTGAAACATTCACTGCGCTGTACGTCTGAGTCTATGATGGGAGCTATCCCAGCTGGCAGGACGGCTGTGTGCTATCTGTAGTGGCGTTTCACACTTTAGATCATGAGCGTAAATCTCAAATTTTCCAATGTGGCAACCCCCCAATATTATAAACCACAACCCGAGGAGCTAGTCAACGTACCGAAACAGTGACACTTTCACCCCCAAACTTTCAGTAGTTTCTCCTTTTTCATCTGAAACTGCCAAGTACTCACCTGTTTGTCGCTTCTTCTGTGTCTTACAGAAGACCAGCTAAACAATAAAATCTGCCGTATTCCCAGCGAGTGTGTGCACCTCCTTCCCCAGTGATCATTTATCTACTTAGCTCTCACAGTTTACTTTCCCGTCTTTCTCCCTTTTCTCCCTTCTTCAGGGCAGGTCTTAGCAGGCCGCCTCATTCCTCAGCGATCTTGGATGGAACAAGTGTATTCTTGCCCTGGCAGGATAAAATTAGCCTTAGCCTCAGCCTTAATGTGCATTTTAAAAGTCTGTATTTTAAAAGTCTGTGTGTGTGTGTGTGTGTGTGTGTGTGTGTGTGTGTGTGTGTGTGTGTGTGTGTGTGTGTGTGTGTGTGTGTGTGTTTGTGTGTTCTGGACTGAGTGTTGGGTGCTGGCTGGCCAGGCTGAGACAAGTTGTCTCTCTGTAGGAATTCCATAGCTGCAGGGCTGCAGCAGGCGTGTTCTCCTGTTCATCTCACACACACACACACGCGCACCCACACGCACACACGCACACACACACACACACACACACACACACACACACACACACACAGACACGCACAAGGCTCCTCCTCATGCAGGGAGCCCATCTCACACACACACACACACACACACATTCCCTGCCCTAAAGCACACACTCCCCTTTCCAACAGGGCCTCCATTGTGAGCACTTGAACATCCATTATGTAGCTGTGAGCTAAGTTACTGAGCACAGCAGCACAAACTTTGAGGGAAGCAGGCAGGTGCACACATCAGCACTGCGGGCTACATGCTTGTGCCCACACTCTGTTACTACTGGCATGATTAATGGATTAATTAGCTTGCCTCTCCACAGAATCGCACATAAACTCCTTAAAACATAGCAGGCTAGGCTAGCAGTTCCCTCCTGTTCCCAGTCTTCATGCTAAGCTAAGCTAACCGGCTACTGGCTGTGGCTACAAACATGGACATTTCTTATTTTTAAATGGACATGGGCCAAAAAAGATTTGAAGTGATATTTTTCATTAAAAGATCATCTCAATAATTATTACCCTACTCTCTATCCCTTCCTGCTGTGTAGGGCAGCAACTAATTCATATTTTCATGATCAAATAATATGCTAATTATTTTCTAGATGAAGGGTTTTGTCTATAAGATGTAAAAAACAAATAGTGAAAATAGTCCCAGAGCCCAAAGTGACATCTTCAAATCGCTTGTTCTGTCTGACCCGCAGCCCAAAACCGGAAGATACTGAATTTGCAATTTGTAAATAAAAACAGAGAAAAGTAGCACATCCTTACATCTGAGAAGCTGGAACCAGGAAATACTTAGTGTTTTTGTTCAAAAAGTGACCAAAATGATCAATCGATTGCTGTCAGTCTACTAATAGATCAGATGGCTAACAGTTTGAGCTCTACTGATGTGGATATGTTTCTTTTGCAAATGTAGGGTGCACATTTCCTTCACATTCCTGTCTCTGAGCCTTTATTTTTTTTCTAATTTATTCCCTCAAACTCCACATTCTTGGTAACCAAACATACTATTTTATATCCAGGCAGCCGCCAGCTGCATCTCTCATCTGTCCTCAATCCACAGAGGACATCATCGCTGTGCGTCTGAGCCTGTCTCATCACTCTGCCCTTTATAATTTCTATTCCTCATTCGCCGCGCTCTCGTTGTGTCAGGGAACTTTCTATTCCCTGCGATTGGTCACCGTCAAGGGAAGCCCACTTCCTCATCCTGGAACTCCCCGAGCGCCAAAAGAGGTCACAGGACCAGGCCTGCCAACCAGAGTGCTGCAAACACAGCCGCCGAGGTGTTTACAGGAAGTGGACAGCAAGCCTTTTGTATTTGGCTTCTATAAAAGGAAATTCTGCGGAGGACTTCCTGGAAGGAGTGATGAAGCTGACACACACAAACCACTTCCACCCCCTTTCATTCAATGACACAGAAAAATAAAATATACACAATTTAACATAAAAAACACACACACACACACACACACACACACACACACACTCTGTCTGAGCTCAGTAGCTTCTACAGTCACTTCACTGATTATGGGTCTGGCAGTGAATGAAGCATAAACACACTGCCCAGCTGCACACCCACACTGAGCACCTTATCCTGTTATTCAAACAGCTGCCTCACCCCTGTGTCAACATTATGACTGATCAAAATCACCAACCTGGCAACCTGAGGTCCCAGGCAACTGTCAGAACTTGACTCCACAATTTGGACCAGGTACACAAGCAGCCTCGGGACTTACAGCATGAATGACAGTGGTTCAGTGTACCTGCAGGATTAGCAGTCCGGACTACTAAATCGCAGTCACAGATTTAAACACTGATTTGATGTGTAGCATTCACAGGCAACGCCAGAGCCAGGATTTTAGAGCTACTGAGGTTTCTAAGTCCAGACTCTCCCTGTGAAACCCATACCGTTCCAATTTTCCAGAGCCAAAAGCAACATATTCAAACAACTTGTTTTGGCTGCTCAACAGAAAAAAATCCAAAATCCAAAAGTATACTTTGCGACTTAACACACAAGGCAAAAAAGCAGGTAATCGCCACATCTGAACAGCTGGAGCAAGCAAATGTTTACAATAATTTGGTTATCAAAGTAGTTGAAAGAATAACAACAATAACAGAATGACAAGACTAACGGTCATTTTAGATCTGAATGCTGTTTAAAACCTGTTTACACTGCCAGGACTACAATCCTGGTGGAAAAATACTGACATTTGATTTTTATTCTCCTTTTTTTGACTCAAACATCCTAAAAAGTTACAAAAGTGATCATTTTCAAACCTTGAGCTGAAAAGTTTCCATTAATCCAAACAGCCATGTACTGTAACTTATAAATACACTATATTTTACTGTGTGTTTGTTTAAAGCTATTCTGTCTTCTGCTTGATCAAATCACATTTTATTGAACCAGCTTCTGAACTGCTTGTCAGACATTTAAAGGCCCATTTATGTCATGCAGACCAGCCTCCACCGGCTGTTATCACAGATGTTTGATATAAACATTGCATGTTATTACAATACTATAGTGTCCCTGTAGACTGTCATTACTTTGGTTCAAATTAAAAAGAAAGCAGACCACAAATCCCACTAACCCTAGGATCTGGATCTCTCGCCTGCTGTACTGTATCTTTATTCCCTTCAGAGACAGGAAAAGTATCTCCGTGACAATTATGGAAGAAGTTGCCTCTGAGTCTGAATGCTTCCTGTGCAAAATACAACAGTTAGTGGTAAACAAAATAAGCAACATATGTGTAAAAACACACTCGGACTGGCTGTATTGTATGAGCAAGTCTAAACTCACCGGTTGCTGTCAACCGCAAACTATCAGCCACACTCTGGTCAACTCCCGAAACTCCGCCCCGTTTCTACAGATTTTCAGTCCGTTTAAAGTCCAGATTTGACGCTGAGATTTCACCAACTTTCCCGGTGATGTGAAAAACTTAAGGGTCTTCTAACACACAGCACCTTGTTCCCGTTTCTCTCCCCTGAGTGCTCTCAGCCTGGTTCTTTGCTTTGCCCGGGGAGGAACCTGGCGAAGAGGAAGCGGAACGTCGTAGAAACAGACCGAGGAATCGGAACCTCACGGCTTCCGTAGCGCTCATTGGGCAAAACTCAAAGGGCGCGTAAAACGCAGCTGGCTATACTGCAACTGCTCTTGTGTTTACATTGAAAGTTAATGGTCACAATACCGGAAACAAGGTGTCCTTAATTTTCAGATTAAACTTTAGCTACTCTGCAAAGATGACTAATAATAGCAATATTTATTTTTTTCTATGAAGTTGGTAAATGAGGCTGCAACAGTTTTTTTTTTTAGAATTTTCATTATTGATTAATCTTGATTAACTAATCAATCATTTATCTATATAAGCTCAGCAAAAAATAAAAGGTCACAGTTTCCCAGAGCCCAAGGTGATGTATTCAGATTGCTTGTTTAGTCCAATTTGGTCAATTTACAATGTGAAAAATAAAACTGAAAAATGCATTTGACCATAATATATTCTGCATTCTGCTTGAAAAGTAATTCATTGAAAGTTACCAAGTAATTTTCTGTTAAGTCAATCAGCAGCTGTATGATTTGTATATAGACAATGTATGGTGTTATCCATTTGTTGTTGCTCTTTGTATGTATCTATTTTCCCACCTACTTAATTGTAAATAATAGTCCTATGTTTATGTTTACTTATGTTAGTTCAGCTTTGTTGTCCTTGTGTTTTGCTGTATGTCCATGTGAATATTTGTGAACATTATTATTGTTACTGCGTGTAAGTATAGAGAGCCACTAGAAACAAGAGTCCATTTCCTTGTGTTTGTTCACAAACTTGGCCAATGAAGCTGATTTGGATTTTAATTGTTTCTTTATAAAGTAAATTGGCATTTAAAAAAAATTCTAAACACTAAATAGATAAGAAAAGAAAAGAAAAGAAAAGAAAGCAGGCCTCAAATCCCACAAACACTAGGATGTGGAACTCTTGCCTATGTGTTAATACTGTGTGTTAGTACTTACACGCAGTACCTTAATTGTCAATGAGAAATTTAAATAAGATAACCTATCTTGCTCAACTCAGCCTCTATACTGAATTTATTTTAACCATTCAAAACTGTAGCAAACTGGCAGGTATAGCTTGCAAAAACTGTTAGCTATCTAAATATACAGGATTCAAATTTTAATGCAACATACATACACCTGTTAATTAACATGTAAGAGTTGCTATAAGTCGTTAAAATAACTGTGTTATGATGATATACACTGGGCTACCAATGAATAAATAAATAAATGAATAAATGAAATTCCTCTGGCTTCTGGCCTAAACTAATTTCATTAAATTTCCGTGGCTCAGTCAGTGAATTACTCAGCCTATAGAGTTACCTGGGTCACATCATTACAGGCCATAGATATTGTATTATTTATAATATTGTTACATTTTAAAAACTATATACACATGACTCAACAAACTATTTGTAATTTGCATCATTATAAAATGACACGAATTAAATCAATTATTTTGAAGATTTTTACCGGATGTTCCACACTAACTGCAGCTTGCTTAACTCCTCCTGATCACACAGCAGCAAGGAGGAAAGTAGCTCAAACATCAGAAACGCCAAACAGCTGAAAATCAGACTTTCGTCGAGGGAAAAAAAATAATAGTATGAACGAAATGTTAAATACTGACGAATAACGTATTCTGTCTGTAACTGGACACATTATTAGACAAAACAGCGCAGGACTGACTAAGCTAACAACCGTGTAACGTTTACTCAAACCAGCTATTACAAGCTAACGTTAAGATTTATAATTGTCAGCATCAGTGTGGCTTTAACTAATGAAAATGTTATCTTGACGGCCATGTAATTAAGTCACAGGTGTAATAGTTAAAGCTGTTGGTCACTTGGCTAGCTGACTTTACTGTTTGGTAATTCCGATGTATTCAAATGTAGGGATACGTTTTATGCTAGTTTCGTGATTCTGCACCTTCGTGTCTTGTGAAACTTCTTAGCTTTATGCCTGGTGCAACATTGGCTGTCGTTACAACCTGCAGCTCCAACTCTGTGTGGCCTAAAAACCAGTGTTTATCTTATAAGTTTAAGTTTCTCGCCGCTACCTGTTTCTCAAAACTGACATTCTTCTTCTTGTCTGTTTGTGTGTTTGTTTGTTTTTTGTTGTTGTTGCATGTCTCTGTGTGTGCTCCAGGTGTTATGTTTTCCCGCGGGTGGAGGTTTGGTTGGGACAGGTACAGTGAGGTGGACCTCTTCACAGACCGCCATGAGACCAGTGCAGAGACTCTCTCCCAGGCCATTAGAGCTGCAGCGTCTGAGGAGCCAGACGCAGACGGCAGCGTACTTTTTGGAGAGCTGCAGGGCACTGTGGTCGGCCTCAGATATTATACAGGAGTGGTAAGGATCAATCAGGGTCACCTCTATTCCCCAGAGGAGGTGAAACAGAACTGCCACGAATTGCCACCTAGTGCAGATATACCCTGAGAAATAATCTGTTTTTGACTCTCTGGACAGGTGAATCAAGGGGAAATGGTTGGTTTAGTACGAGAGCCCCATAATCCACACGACCGCAATGCAGTGATGGTTGCCAACATTTATGGTAACCAGGTGGGACACATTAAGCGGGAGCTGGCAGCAGCTATGGCCCACGTCATGGACAACGACTTGGCTAAAGTAGAGGGGTAAGTAAATTGTGATTGGTGTGTCAGTGTCCTCACTGTGCCAGGATATGATTTTTGCAACGTCTTCATTAATGTCAGCCTAGAAATCCCACATCAATACCTGACTAACCCTGAACAGATGCAAAAATAGCTGCTTTTGACAACTTCTCCCCTTAAATACCTGTATGGGATTTGATTTTTCAAATCATTGTTTATTTTCATGTACTCCTTTTCATTTTTATTCATTTCTGTTAAGAGGAACATTGAGTTCTTGTGTGCACCATTACAGAGGGTTCTGTGAGTTTGTGTTTGAGTGTGTGTGTCATTGCTTGTTTCTCTGCTGCGTCAGGGTGGTGTACTCAGGCACGAAAAACAAGTTCACCATGCCTGTGATGCTGTCTTTCTGGGGCAGAGAAGAGAACAAAAGTGCTGTGATTGAATGCATGGCACGTCGCGGTTATAAACTGAACACAGGTGGAGGCAGACCAGCAGGTACACATATACACTCAACTGTCCAACCTCACTTTCATCCTGATGGAAAACCCCTTAGATTGACACATGTAGCTCACACTGTTGCATTACAGATGTCGGTTTTCAGTTGTCATTAACTTCATTGCTTATTTTGTGTTTGTGGATGTGTGTGTGTGTCTGCATATGTTTGATTTCAGGTGCAAGTCAAGCATCATATAAAAGTTCAGGGGGAGGTTCATTGCCATCTAAAAAAGGTTTGACCATCCCACTAACTGCAGAGGAGGTAATCTACTCAAATTGAGTTCATATGATATATGATGGTATAGCATGGGGTTTATGCAATATTTTAATGAAATATTTGGCAAAAATCTGCAGAGAAGAAAACACATGGCAACATCCTTCTTCTTTCTTAATGTGTCCAATTATCACAGTACATTTTTGTATTTTAGAGAAGTCATTATTCATCATATTTAAATGTATAATTTTCATGCTAAAATTACATGGAGTGACAATACGTTTGCAGTCATGTTGTAAACATTGTGGAGCAGCCCTAATACAGCTTAAGCTTTATTTATTTTTTACACGTATTGTATTTCTTTTCTTTTCCAGCTGAAGAATGCATTCGATAATCTGTTCCAAGGCTTGATGGAGAGCAAAGACGGGGAGAAAGAAGCAGCCCAGGTACAGTACTTCCTTGATCTGTTTGTCTGTCTGCATTTTACATATCTGACTATACATTTGAATCATTTTGCATTTGTTTCTACTCTCTCAATGCTTCAGTCAAAAACTAATGATTTTATCTTGTTTCTTATTGTTTGAATAATATTATTTTTAACCTCAGATTTCTTTATTATTTTCAGTAAATGGAAAACAGTGGCCAATAGTCTGTTTTACAATAATATTATTTAGAGCCCTATGTGTTTAGACTCTTTGCTATTGGTCCTCTTTAATGCTGCCGAATTAGAAATTAGAGCTTACTCTGCATTTAACAAATTGGAAGTTGCTGTGGATAAAAGAATCAGCTAAATGTCTCAAATTTAAATGTAAAATGTATGTTTACAGAAGTAAGAGAAATGATGTCACATGAGGAGACAACCCTCCATTATTCTTCTTTTCTGGTTTCCCTTTTTTTAAAATCAGTGTCTTGCATTCATCTCTCTCCCTCTCTCTCTGTAGTCTGTGGGTACTCCTCTCCTGCTTCATCAGAAACAGGCATTATCCTGGATGTGTGCTCGAGAAAACAAATCTGCATTGCCGCCCTTCTGGGAGAAGAGAGGCGAGCTGTACTACAACACCCTCACGTGTTTCTCTGCCAAAGAAATACCAGAGAGGGTTCGTGGGGGAATACTGGCAGATGACATGGGACTGGTGAGTGACACACACTGTTACTTGTAAACTGTTAAGAGATGTAATATTATTAGAGATTAAAAAATATTTGTTTATTGATGAATTACAAGTTAATTCATACATTCACTGATTATGTTATGTTTGGTCAGTCGCTGGTTATAGCATAGAGTAGAAAAATGCGTGTGCAAAACTTTTGTTTGCATCGTTGACAATCAGGCAGGAAACATGAGATGATATGTTGCCTCCAATGAATGAGGAAGGAAAAGATAAAGCTGCTCCTGTCAGAGCTGCTTTTTTTCCTACAATTACCACAAAAACAGACGTCACACTGCTGCTATCCTAGCAGACATGAATCAACACTAAAACCCATGTTTGTGTTTCTCAGGGAAAAACTCTTACAACCATCGCTCTGATCCTCACCAACTTTCACAACGGGAAGCCACTACCTGTGGAGAAATGTGTAAGGGTAGCTGTGCTGAATATGTTCTTTTCAATCAGCCAAAGTGACTTGTGGTCAACTGCAGTGTTTGTTTACATGTGTGCAGGGGGAGAGGTCTTCCCCCGTCAAAGCCAAAAGTAAACTAAAGATGGCCGCCAAACTGGAAGGTACACACAACTTTTAATAAAATTTCTGCTGCAGAGTTGCTGATCTTTTTTTTTTTTTTCTTCATGCTCATTCTTGCTTCAGCTCTCTCTCTCTGGCTATATGTGAGGGCATTTGCACAAACTTACATGTAAGTAAGTCTAACACTAACAGGAGAGCTGATGTGGCGTCTTTTTTTCAGGAAGCAGCGCAGGTGATGGAGTAGGAGTGAGTGGTACAGCAGCTGGTTCTCTATGCTCAGACCCGTAAGTGTGTTTTAAATGAATATGACATGCTGGCTTGATATTGTAACTGATATAGTTTTAATTATAGCTCCATAGCTAATCATACCTGAAGGAAAGAATACACATTTTCTGCACCTGGACATGTTTTCATACAGATCTACATATATGCTACGTTTGCACACCTGCTCTGTAAACCTAATAATGTTTAGGGCCATCACTTTCTTTTAACATAACCTGATATGTTCCTGTATTGGTCAGTCCCCGGGTGGAGGTGATCTGTGCTGATACACCAGATATAGTGGAGATAACAGGCGAGTCAAAGAAAAGTAAGAACTGACAGTGAGAACCTACACACCTTTCTCAGTTCTAAGTTTTTGTTGGCACTGTGTGGCTTTTGTCTTCTTTCATGACTGACATACATTTTTACCCAACTTCTCCACCTACAGGTATGAGCCAAGAAAAAATGAAAGCCACTAAGCGAAAGCCCAGTAAAGGTACAACACACCAGCTGTTTGTGTGCTATGATATTTGCATGTCAAAATTGTTTTAAGTACCAGTTATGATTCTCAATGATCTCAATCATTGTAATCTGTATGCCTAAAATGCAAGGGGCCACCGTGTTGCTGGAGGATCTGGACTTTGCTGCAGCGCTGGGTGGCTCAGCATCAGATACAGCCCCAAAGAAGAAGAAAGCTGCCAAGAAGGCCACTCCCACACCGAGTGAGTTTCAACAGTGTGTTTTTTACATGGTGATTTTTTTAAAGTAGGTTTATGCAGTGAAATTGGAGATATGTGTATACCTTTTCTGTGTGCAGGTGTGGAATCCTCCATCACTGAGAGTGCAGATGAATTATCGGCTAGAACGACTCTCATCATCTGCCCTCTCTCTGTGCTCAGCAACTGGCTGGTAGGAATACAGCCTCACACAAGACAGCACACACACAGACACCCAACTCAATTTACAGATGAAGCAATTAGTCAATTAATTGATTAGTTGTTAAACACAAAATAATGTGCATCTATTCAGATGTGAGGACTTCATGCTTTTCTTTTTCATAGAGGATAGCAAATAGAAAATATTTGAGTTTGGGATGGATGTTTGAATAAAAAACAGCAATTTGAATACTGCAAGTTGAACTCGGGCAAGTTCAAAGTATTTTCTAACATTTATACACAAAATTATTTATTAGGAAAATAATCAGCAGATTAATTGATAATGAAAAGTATCATTAGTTGCAGCTCTAGTGCTGTTACGAGAAAGGCTAGCCTGTAAGCTACTCTTGGTGAAATTACATACTGTTAAAGCAAACAGCCGCATTGTAACACCAGATTGAATGCTGCCTTCGTCATCCCTGGAGTCAGTGTGTGTCATCTTTTCTTCCTCTCTCCTTTGTGTGTGCATTCAGGACCAGTTTGAGCAGCATGTGGATCCCAATGTCAAGCTAAATGTGTATCTGTATTACGGCTCGGAGCGCAACAGGAGCAAGACGTTTTTATCGTCCCAGGATGTGGTGGTCACCACTTACAACGTTCTGTCTGCTGACTTTGGGGTGAGCGAATACAGATTACATGTATGTCAGTGGCTGCGAGGTGAACTGATGTGTTCACACAGAAAAGACACATGGGAGACAAATTTGATATGGTAGTACAGACTGCATTAATTTATTTTGATGAGCAAAATTATCCAAAAGCAAAGGGATGTCTTTCCTGCACCTTGACTGTATGTTTTAGTCCATGTCAATACGTGTTTGTTTCTCTTTCAGCATAAGAGTCCGCTCCACGGGATCAACTGGCTGAGGGTCGTGCTGGATGAAGGACATGTCATTAGAAACCCAAACGCACAGATGAGTAAGGCTGTGCTCAACCTGAAAGCTATCCGGCGCTGGATTCTTTCAGGTACACTGTCTTTAAACACACACAAGCACATATGGATCTCTTTATATAATTGTATTGTGTCCAAATTCTTGTTTTCCAAATGTTGTAACTGACAATTCATTTTAATTTTAAGTTAAACCTTGACAAAAGCTGTTAGGTACTGGTTATAAACTGTCATTTTGAATACTTTAGTGATATGGTTATGTTTATGCATATCATCCTTCTTCTACCTCTGCAGGTACTCCTATCCAGAACAGTGTCAAAGACCTGTGGATGCTGCTGGCATTCTTACGACTCAAGCCATTCGACGTGAGAGAGTGGTGGAACAGAGTGATCCAGAGACCCGTTACTCAAGGACACAGGGGCGGCGTGCAGTGAGTGCTCACTGATACACTATTTTACACTGCTGCATGTAGTAATAATACTCCAGAGGGCACCATTCATTTACTGTAAGTAAGCAATGGTACAGTCAGTCTGAGAGAAGTTATCGCTGAGGTACAATCTTATTCCATACATATTCTAATATATATGTGTATATACTACATGTTATACAATCATTTTGTTTCCCCTAACTGTAATTTTACTATTGTTTACAACTTCTTGCTTGTTGTTCTTGCTAGTAACAAACAGAATTGGTTTTAAAAGCCAGACTGACTGTGGTGATTGCATACACTTGACATTATTTGGCAACTTTTTGTCAATTTAGATACTTATTTATTGATTTATGATTTAGATACTTTAAATACACATATCATAACCCAATGATATGGCCAGCACCTTGGATAATTGCTCGCTGCCATCATCATCTGATTGTGTGTGTACATGGGTGAGAGAGGCAAATCGGGAAGCACACTGAAGAGAAAATCTCCTGTAATTGATTATAGGCCAGGTTGCTATTTTATAGGATAGCTAGATAGGCTAACAGACTACAATGAGTTCCCTGTGTAGCATCCTGAGTGAGTTATGAAAGTTTGTCATATTATAATTCTGATCATCAGACAATGTTAATAAATTGACTGTGTGCAGGAACCTTCAGACCCTGGTGAAGTGCATCACCCTGCGGCGGACCAAGAGCAGTGAGGTAAATGGGTGCCCCCTGGTGTCTCTGCCTGAGAAGACCGTATATGTGGAGCAGGTGGAGCTGAGCCAGCAGGAGAGAGAGGAGTACGAGCTGGCTCGCAATGAAGGAAGAAACACCATCAGCAGGTATATGTGAGCGTGTGTGTGTGTGTGTACACATGCATGCGTGCAAGGAGTAATTAGATTAGTATTATATTATTATAGTATTAGCATTTGACATGACAAATACTATTGATACTGTTGAATGTTATAACAATTTTACATTGTTTTATATGAATGTGTGTGTGTGTGTGTGTGTGTGTGTAGATATGTAGCAGAAGGGACGGTGCTGAGGAATTATGCTGATGTGTTGGCCATCCTGATGAGGCTTCGACAGCACTGCTGCCACCCTGATCTGCTGGCAAAGATGTCCTCAGATTTAGGTAAAACCTGCAGTCTGATAAGATAATGATGTGATTCAGGAGAGCAAAGCTTCTGAACTCACTTGATATAACACCTAGAGATTTCTAATAATGATTTATTTGTTTGCTTGATATATGCTGTGTTTTTAAAAAAGGAAAAAAACAATTGCTTCTATTCAGGTAGTCCTATAATGATACACACCAAACAGTATATGTACAGTTGGCCTTGTTTAAGGTCTAGCACACCCACACAGGTGTTTTCAATGCTTTGGCTTAATTAGACTTCTGTTCAGGTTAAAGTTGGCTGAAGAATTTGCTGAGATCACAGCTGGTTATGAAGCACATTGACCATCTGCCATATGCAGAAATTAAGTGCCTTCATTTCAAAGGTGAAGTTCACCAAAATAAAAACAAAAACAAGTTCAGCTGCGCTGCTGATGTTGAGCCCAATCACCCCACCATGAATAACACGTACAGCCCAGACAGACATAAAGCTATAAGTTGCCTTATTCTATCTGTATACCAAAATGAACAGGTGACTTTACTAAGAGTGTTTCCTCCACACACCCACAGTCCTTAGAGCAGATGTAATCAACCAGAATAATTGAAAACACCTGTGTAGATGTGTCATGGGTGGGTGGGGGCTTTCATTTGTATCTGATGACAAGAAAACCACAGGTGTAATGAATAATATTAACGATGGGTCATCTGCATTTAAGTTTACAGGGCCCTGGTTCTCTCTATGATGTTTGCTTGCTTGATTTACTTCCACACCTCACTGGAAAGGAGGCATCTTTAATGCTATAATTGCACTGTGTTTTCCTGTTATTCTTATTATTCTGTCAGTAGCATGCTGTAGCACTTTTTTCATTCATTACTCATTAAAAACAATGGAAATGAATAGAAATATTGTTGCTATTTCTGCTTCATTTCAACAATATTCTTTGACAGAATTCGGGGACAGATTGATCATTTGGTAATTTGATCCTCCTCTGCACCTGTATCATTATGGTCCCCATACAAGATTCACTTTAGCTTTTCAGTGTGATTTGTTTATTTGAAACTTGGACAATAACTTCATTATGAGCTTACAACATAATACAGCACATCTTGAAAAGATTCAAATATTGTCACCTGTGAGAATGACTGATGCACATCAAGCTTTTGGGGCTGATTCCAATTACTGTAACACTGTTATACTGTTCATTTAAGCTGTGTTCTTGTGTAAATATTTAGTTCCTCTGTCTTAATACAGGTTTCAGAAAGATTTCTCTCTTCTGACTTAATTTGCTTACATATATGTTTGTATCAAAGATTTCTTTCCCACTCCGTGCCCTCCCTTTGTCTGTAGGTGCTGCAGCGACGCCTGCAGAGCTGCGGGAGCGTCTGATAGAGAAGCTGCGGTTAGTGTTGGCCAGCGGCTCTGATGAGGAATGCTCTGTGTGTCTGGACTCCGTCCGTCTCCCTGTCATTACTCACTGCGCCCACGTTTACTGCCGGCCCTGCATCGCCCAGGTCATCAGCTCTGAGCATGTATGTATGCTGCCCTCAGCAGAGAGGAGTTTGTACTTTTGTCATCATTTGACTTAACTCAAAAAGTACATTTTTACTACCATATAATCAGTTATTTAGCTGTTAATCTTTTCCCTGTGCTGTTTTTGTGTGTGTGTGTGTGTGTGTGTGTGTGTGTGTGTGTGTGTGTGTGTGTG